AGTTCCACCCTCGCCTTAGTGAAGAAACTGACAAGGTGCCAAGAGGGTGTATCATTGCGTGCTACTCTCCGCCTCAGCTTTCACCTTGTTCACCATATCATAGTCGATCGATCCATGTATCCCACCGGCCCAAATCGTCCTCACGTTCCTTAACATCCCTTTCCTAACATTGAAACACTGCAAGAAACACTAACAATGAGTAAACGCAACAAACACCAGTTTAATATTGTGTTTTGCGTCCAAATCCACAAGGAAGATGCTGAGATGTCGCTGTTTTTCCTTTGGTCAAATCATAAATTTCCATGTCGATTAAATGTGGAAAACTTGGTGAAATTTGAGTTGACAGCAAAACAGTAAGCTCGTTCAAATTTATATGACCAGTCGACCTAATTGGAACAACCTAGTGAAAAAACCAAACGAGAATAACTAATGTACCAAACTAAGACATCAGATGTTAAATATAAACTTCAACTGGATCATGAAAACAATAGTACCTTGGATAAGGAGAGCCCTTGATGGGTTTCTGGCCATACTTCCTCCATGCCCATAGATCAGATGGAATCACCTCCCCTCCCCCTCCTGCCCGGTTGCTCATCACCGGTGGCGCCGGGATGCACACCACCTTCCTCACATCGTTCTTTCTGCAGTATGGTATATGCGTGCAAGCCATGCCGCAATAACTTAATGTAGTGAATGGCAGAGCAGTTAGAGCTTTTGAAGAACAATTAAACATGTCCCCACAAAAAACATCCTCCAATAAACATCATGAAAGGATTAAAGAAGCATGATTTAATTTGAAAGGGGAGAAACATGCAGCTATCCATGCATCAAATGTCAGGAATTCAGAACTATGAACTGTTGAGTTAACTCATGGTAGCAGACACAGAATGACAATTTCACATACGTGAAGTATTTAATTGTTCTTTCAGTCTAGTGAAAAATGATGCTCAAATGAACCAATGGAAATGCATAGAAAGAACTATAGATTAGATAGAGTAGAACCACAGAAAAATTACATAGGCACATGCATGAACTAATGAAATTGTAAGGGAAGGGGGGGGGGGATGTATTAGAAGAGGAGCAAATGACAAATAAAATACTGAAGCAACAAAGAATAGGACAGATCAAGTCTCTTAGCTAGGAAAGAAATTAGGATGGATCGAAGGGGAATTAATTAAGAGTTAATAACCTGGTGATCGTCTGATGACGAGGAGCCGGTGGTGGTGGTGGTGGCGGTGGCGAGATCCTCATGGGGTCGTCGCTGTCGGCGGCGGCGCAGCACGCATGCTCAGAGATCTGGAAAGCCAGCAGTTGCTGGTGCTGGTGCTGGTGCTGCTGCGGCAGCCCATATCCGCCAGCCGCCGCCAGAAGGTATGGGTCGACCACAAGGGTTGAGGGCGGGGCCTCAAAGGTAACCTCGCCGCCGCCGCAGGCGACGTTCGCAGGCCGCCGTTGTCTCTCCTCCTCGTAGGGGATCATGACGCGACCTGCCGCACAAGGGGGAGGTGGTGGTGGTGCTTGGCGACGGGCTCCGGCGGAGTAGGGCATTGAGTTGGCACGGGCCACGACATCGGCGAGGTCGCCTTCCCGCGCTGCAGTGGCGGCGGCGTTGGCCTGCTCCTCCATATCCATAGTGGTCTTGTGCTCTCTGCTGTATCTTTTCTTGGTTATACTATTACCAGCCTAGTCTTTGCTACTCCTAGCTTAGCCACACACACACACACGCACGCAGCCAGCTTGCAGGAGCTGTACACACACACTCACACTGTCCTCCTCTCAAAACTCTCTCTCTATCTCTGATTCATGAGCTATATCTAGGTAGCTAGGTGACAATGGTGCACAATTTGGTAGGGGGATGGGGATACGCTGCTGCGGTGCAAGGTAAGTGCGTGTGTGTCTTTTCATGGACTAACCACATGAGGAGATACGCGATCTGATGGCTGGCTATGAGTCTAGTCTATGTATGGTGAGGGTGAGGCGGACCGGTCGGATGTGTAGGACGAAATAAGCGACCTGCATTTATTTGGAGCTCAGGACACTGTTGGCGCCAACTGTGGGCAGCTTATTGCACCACAGAACAGAGGTCAGGACATTACGGCACTCCCTCCATCCGTCTCTCTGCAAGGACTACTGCCTTTGCCCCCCTTATTTAGAGAGAAGAAAACGACAAGGGGACAGCGACATGGTGGAGTGGCACTTATGAGAGAGAGAGAGAGAGAGAGTAGGGCTTGGCAAGCTCGAAAAGTGCTTGCAGCTACCGGGCTCCAGGGCTCTTGATATTTGAAATTTTTAAAAAACACACTTCGGTTGCTAAAAAAAATCTTAAATCAAATATGTTTTTTTTGAGACATTCTTAAATCAAATATGTTTTTTTTTGAGACATTCTTAAATCAAATATGTGAATGCATAGACACATTCCCAAGGCCCGGTAAAAATCTGAAAAAGAAATACTTTGTATTTTGAGAAATACAAAAAAGAGAAATTTCTGACAAAAATGGCACCCATTTTCTCTTATATATTGTCAGAAATTTGTTTTTTTTCTATAGCCCAAAACAAAGCGAGATTTCTACCAAAACTTGCCACGGGTATTCGGAATGTGTATATGTATCCCCTGAAAAAATTTCATATTTTTTGAAACTTCCAAAACACGAATTTCAAAATGTTTAAATATCGAAAAGTGGCTGCAGAGGCCGAGCTCCATTGAGCCCTATATACATTTATCAGCCAAAATACCTTTTCCATAACTCAAAAAAATCTGAAAAAATGTTTTCATGTAGACATATACTTGAAATATATGTGTACAAATTTTCATAAACATATGTATTCATATGTGATGTATACAAAAAAGACAAATACACAGATTGAAATAGGCTTTTTCTTTGTTGTATTTGTGTCAGATATTTGTCTTTTTTGTGTAGCATGCAAATGATCAAATTAGTTACTGAAAATTTATACATACTTAAAGAATATGCATATGTATTTGTACAAAAAATTGGCATTTTTTGAAACTTTTAAATATATTTTGAATTTTTTTTGCAAAACGAGCTCCATGAAGCCCGGTCTTTGCAACGCCAGTCCTTTCCCACTCACCAGCTTATTTTCACCACTCCTCAAGTTTTTTGGCGAGAATCTAGTGAATGAACATTCACTCTTCGGCCTTAGGGAGAGCACATTCTGCGCGTCCAATCTGGTCGCGTGTTGCCGTAAAAGAGAGGAAGAAGAATCGTGAGGAGGAATTACACCCCCCCCCCCCTCACCACGACTTAGATGGCTTGGCTGGATGGGGCCTTACACCTAGCCTCATCAAGGTGTTGGTCAAAGTATGACGACACGGGGTCGGTGGAAAAGCGACAAAAGGAGGAGTTGGCGTGAGGAAGAAGGGAAGAGAAGTTTCTAGGTTAAAGAGGAAGAAGAGTGGAGCGATGTTCACACAAATTGGACTACATAGTGAACACCTCGTTGTAGAAGCATCCTTAGATACATCTCAGGACGGTCTCAACGTGCTATTTATCACTAGAGACGGTTGAATAGGGTTTTACCAGGAAGATTTTATGGTAAAACATGGAAGAAATAAAAACAGCAATGTGAGTGCCCTATTACATCACCATTTATTTGGTCACCAAACCATACCGAGCAAATTTGGTCCTCACTCCATGTGAAGCAGTTTTTACGAAGGTGAGTCGCTCGTTTTATACACATGACAACCTAGTCAAATATATATATGATAAGAAAAAAAACAGAGAAGGTCAATTGTCTCAAGAAACTTGACAAAATAGTAGAAATCATGGATAATTTATCAAAAATTATGGAAAATTTAAATTTATTTAAGACATGTTATAACATAGAGTTATAAAATATATAGTCTTTTAAGAAAACTGTACTTTTATTTGTTTTATAAAAATGCGAGGAAAAAAGGATTTGGGGGATAAATGAAAAAAGTACAATTGTAGAATACTCCATGTATGTTACTAACAATTTTAAAATCATTGAAGTATCTTTGAATTTATTTGATTTTAGTAAATTGTCCTTGAAATATTTTATTCTTCATGACTCCAATAAATTATTTACTCCCACGGATCTGAAATAAGTGTATCAGTTTTGAACTAAAGTTGAACTAACCTTAGTTCAAAGCTGCAACACTTATTTTGGATCGGACGGAGTATTATGTTTTTCTTAAAAAAAATGTTTTTTTTCTTTGAGTTAATTTCCCAAATTTGTTTAAAAAACTCATCCGTTTTGCCAGCTAAATAATAGATTGATTTTTGTATAATTAGATTCTTAACTTTCTATTGTAATTTAGTAATTGTAAAAAAGTCAAAAAATTGAAAAATTGAAAAAAATGTAGGGAACAAACTTAACCTTCTGTTGTACTCGTATAACAAATTCAAAGAAAGAAAAACTCCTGTCGACTTTAGGGAAAAAATAACAATTTTTTAGAATAAGAAGTGTGAATAGTAACTTGTACATAGCGTTGATATTTTTCCACCTGGAATACCATGAAAGTCAAGATTGTTTTCAAAAAAGTTTTAGATTTTTTAACTTTTTTGCAATTACTAAATTATTTTTTCATATTAGGTGCATATACATCCGACAACCAAAGGTGCGTGCCCCCCTGTTGCAGATGCTCTTACTGTCTCCGGGCAGCGAAAAACTAAATTCTAACACAAGTGTGAGGAATGCAACCTGTGCAATCAGACCGGCCTGCTGTTCATGAGAAACATACCGTGTTGAGCAACATTTTTAATTAGATTTTGTGTTCCCCCTTGTCATATATGTGTGGATGTACGCATGGCTATGTGCATGTACAGTGCCCCTTTGACATAAGTTTAACTAACACTGTCGTGTCACTCTCTACAGATCGTGCGAATTGATCATTTTATATACGGCATGATGAACAGCCAGGACTGTAAACAGATGCTTATTTGTCAAGTTATCAACACGGCCACAGGCAAGCTATGCCATACTACTACATGCCAAAATAATGAATTCTTAGAAGCGCAAAGTCAAAATTCTCTATCTTTGCCAGCTAAATAATAGATGATTTGTTGGGAGAAAAACCATATAATTAGATTCTTCTGAAAATTAGTTTCACAGAATGTACTTCAATAATTATGTACTTACATGTTGATAGAGACATTAGTGGTCAAATGGTCCGCCTAGAAAAATCTAAAATATTGAATATTTATCTTGGAATGGGGGGAGTATACATCAAATTAGCTCGTCGAAGCAGGTAAATAATGAATACACCAAAATTCAAAAAATAAATTCAACAAAGGGTAATATATTAGTACCAGATGAAACAAATTACACCCACCCTTTACAATAATCAAGACATTGAGTATGTACACAACCAAAAAGATAAAAAGAAGAAGGGAAAAAACTAACGCCGCAAACCATGCACAACAAAAAGACAACAACATCATATCCCTTCATTGACAACACACGAACACCAAATTTCATGTTTTTAATGCATTTGGATTATTTCTTCATGCTAATGGAATATGTTGTTTTCCTACAAGTTTCTTTTACAAATTATCTTGGGCATGTAATGTGGAAATTTTGCACCTGTGTCAATAAGTTGTGATTACGTAACAGGGTTTCGGACATTTCCAATGCATGATGACAAAGGAACATAGTGTGTTGCGTCATGTTCAAATATCATGACCCCCCCAAAAGGACAAGCACGTTTGACTCTCAC